TCATCATCATCATCATCATCATCATCATCATCATCATCATCATCATCATCATCGTCGTCGTCGTTACTATTATAGTTATAATTGTTATCATAGTTTTGACTCTAATCATGTTTCTTACTGTTATAACGTTTGTCAATAATATTTATATTATAACCACTAATACTTTTTTTTACTCTGTATTCTGTCTCAATATCTTGTTTCTTCTTGTGTCTTCTGTATTAAAATAGTATGTCACTACTTTCGCCCAAGACGCCACGCAAGAACTGGAGGGAACAGTGACCGTAAACAGAATGACGGAAGAGATAGTATCTCAGACCTTCACAGACTTTAAAACGGTACATACTATTAGTTTTTAAAAATATTTTTGTAGTAGTTACGAATACGTAGTAGACACTGGGAGGAACATTTCCCTCGGCATTATCCTTTTATTTTTTGGTAACATCTTTTCATGTACAGCTTGAAATGAGCCCTCATATGACCTTATGCAGTTGCGAGCGCCGTAAAACATTTGACCCCCCCCCCTAAAAAAAACTTGAAGAATGTGGGTTATTATGAAGTTGAAGAACTGGTCATAGTAAAGAAGTTTGAAGGGGAGAAAGAACGGAAGGACCTACTGTCTGGAATATTTTAGCCTTACCTGCCACTCGTGGGTCCTTCATCTTAGTTTTGTCTTTCTAATACTTGTCTGAACTTAGCTCTGAGCTTTTTGCATACAGGTTATACGGGTTATGTTGGTCTTGGACAACTGGTTCGAGTAAAATGTTGGAAGAAGGAAAATGTGATTATATCAAAATAAATACCACACATGTTTGCCTGAATATACCTGAATTTGTAAACTCTTCCCGTTTTAAAGGGTTAGCCTCATGCTGAAAGGAACGGTGGTGAAGCCAGGATAATGACTGATACGAATAAATTAAATGTCCATAATAATATGCTGGTCTGCTAGTCAAAGAAACCGAGGACCGAACTCTCTATCATATTTTCTCCCCACTATCCCCTTTTTCTCCCTCCCTGCCTCCCCCCTCTCTCTGTCTGTCTCTCTCTGTCTCTGTCTTTGTCTCTCTCTCTCTCTCTCTCTCTCTCTCTCTCTCTCTCACACACACACACACACAAACACACACATACATACACGCACACGCTCTCCCTCTCCATCTTTTGGTATGTATTCGTGTGTGGGGGGTGGGGGGAGAAAAGGGGAGGGGGGATATTTTTCTTCCTTCCTTTTTTATCATGCAATTTGCTTACGACCTCTTGAGCTTCTCTATTTCATCCCTAGACCCCCATTTCCTATTGTAATCGAAGTTCCCCTTCTTTTCACAAGTCAAAGTAACCCAAAATGATAGAAAGTCATTCGCCGTAAACGAGACATGCTTTATTAATCAGAGTTAACGGACAACGCGAGGTTTTTTTTCTCCAGATTCCACGCAAACTTCCTTTCAAATGAAATATACATTTAAAGCGTCTCATTTGCTTTCCTGCTTGCCGACGTCACCATGTGTGTATGTGTGTGAAATCGCACAACTTGTCTCTGAATTAAAAGTTCACATTGGACCCAGAGATGGATGTCTTCGTCCACATGTTGCAAACGTGGTCTTCCACGGGGTAGTTCTAGTTTCAAATCTGATTAAGTCTTTTAAAGACCTCCTTCCTGAAATTTTTTTCTGTCATTGAGGTGTCCTGGCAGCGACCTAGAGTTATTCCCCTAAGCTGGGTTCACATTTCATTTAGTAAAGCGGAAAAAATAAACATCATTGAGGATTTAGCATTATTATAGTCAGCCTTTTAATCCATTGATAACTTTGTTTTTCAATTGAAGTTTCAGCTGACGTGATACATTTGTTGCTTTTACAGCCTTATGTTTTCTTGTGTGGCTCTTTTAAAAAAATACTAAGTGAAGAATTTCTTTCCACTCTGCAGAAAATGACCTACTCCGTAAACATGTACGGAGATAAGAAGGGACAATGCATGTCGGCCCCAACGACACATGATTTCTACGAAACCTGTCACAACAACAAAAGTAAGAAGGATTTTTAAATATCTTTTTTTATGCAATTTTAGAATTTATGTGGAGTAAATATGTAGCATCGTATTTTAAACCTCCAAACCATCGTCCGTTTATGATTATAAGTACACTTGGGTACCCTGCATGTCCCTGAGCCGGGGACAGTTCTTGCTTGTTTTATGTACTTTTCTCTGGATCGAAAACAGCAACATGTTCTTTTCTCGTGCCAACGATAGTGCATAGACTTATCGGACCGAAGAGGGATTTGATTTGGGATATGAGGAAATATTTTCTTTGTCTATTTTAGTAAATTAGGGGGAAAGTGAACCTTTTCTACTTACGCATTGGAGCTCATCATATTTCAGAGTTATCATTTGAAGTCTGTTGTTTTGGAAAATTTAGCTCTAAGATTTTGATTGTCTTATTATGAACATTTTCCCTACCCTATTATTTTTCTTATAACATACGATTTTGAGGCGTGGTATAATGGAAAAGCCCTTCCCTGCACGCACACACACGCACACACACACACACACACACATACACACACACACACATACTCAC